TTGTAATGAAACAGGGAAAAAGTATTGAACTGAAATTTATTTAATACTTTGTACAAAAGCCTTTGTTGGTAATGATTGCTTCAAGATGCCTCCTGTATGGAGAAACTAGTTGCATGCATCGCTCAGGTATGATTTTGGCCCATTCTTCCACACAAACAGTCAAATCTTGAAGGTTCCATGGGACTTCTTCTATGAACACTGATCTTTAGTTCTTTCCATAGATTTTTGTACTGGATTTAAGTCAGGTGATTGGCTGGGCCATTCTAACAGCTTTATTTTCTTTCTCTGAAACCAACTGAGTTTCCTTGGCTGTGTGTTTGGGAGCATTGTCTTACTGAAATGTCCGCCCTCATTTCATCTTCATCATCCTGGTAGATGGCATCAGATTTTTATCAGAATGTCTCCGAACATTTGTCCATTCATCTTTTGCCAGTTTCGTATGCTGAAAAACAGCCCCACACCATGATGTTCCCACCTCTAAACTTCATTGTTGGTACGGTGTTGTTGGAGTGATGTGCGGTGCCATTTGACCTCCAAACATGGTGTGTATTATGGCATCCAAAGGGTTCAATTTTGGTCTCATCTGACCAGACTATATTGTCCCAGTATTTCACAGGCTTGTCTAAATGCTGTGCAGCAAACTTTAAACAAGCTTCAACATGCTTTTTCTTCAGCAATGGAGTCTTGCATGGTGAGCGTGCAAACAGGCCACTGTGGCTGAGTGCCTTACTTATTTTCTTTGAAACAACTGTACCTGCTAATTCCAGGTCTTTCTGAAACTCTCCACAAGTGGTCCTTGGCTCTTGGACAGCTCTTCGGATCATTCTTTTCACTCCTCTGACAGAACTCTTGTAAGGAGCACCTGGTCGTGGCTGGTTTATGGTGAAATGATGTTCTTTCCACTTCTGGATTATGGCCCCAACAGTGCTCATTGGAACATTCAGAAGTTTAGAAATCCTTCTGTGACCAAGGCCATCAGTAAGTTTTGCAACAATATGGTTGTGAAGGTCTTGAGAGCGCTCTTTGCTTTTACCCATCATGACATGTTTCTCGTGTGACACCTTAATAACGAGACACCTTTTTATAGGCCAGCAGTTGGGACTGAACCAGCTGATATTAATTTCCACTGACAAGGGGCAGGATTGCTTTCTAATTACTGATAGATTTCAGCTGGTGTCTTGGCTTTCCATGCATTTTTGCACATCCATTTCTTCATGTGTTCAATACTTTCTCCCTGTATCATTCCATTTTATTACACATAACTTAATTTCTGAACTTAATTGTTTTGTTTTCTTTCTATATATGGATTACTTTGGTTGTTACCTACATTTGGTAAAAATTTCATGTCAACATCACCTTTCGAAATATATTTACTGAGAAAAATGGTGATATGTTCAATACTTATTTTACCCGCTGTATGTCATAGCTTCACTGCTGTGTTGGAAGACAACAGGATTGACTTGCTCAACTATCAGTAATTGGACAGTTGTTTGTGTGATTTATTGTCAAGCTAATCGAATTTGGATATTGGACGGAGAAGATTTCTAATCTAGCCACAGGGGTCGCAAGCCTGTGACTTCTGTGCCGGTCCCAAGCCCGGATAAATAAAGAGGGTTGTGTCAGGAAAGGTATCCGGTGCAAAAACATGCCAAATTTAAACATGTGAATCATCAGTGCGAATTCCATACCGGATTGGTCGAGGCCCGGGTTAACATTGACCGTCACCAGTGCTGTTGACCTACAGGGTGCTGGCGGAAATTGGACTACTGTTGGTCGAAGAAAGAGCGGAGGTCGAAGGATTCGTAGACAGAGAGAGAAGAGGAAAGGCAGGAGTATAGGTCTGAGAAAAGGGACTCTTAACGTTGGCACAATGACAGGGAAAGGTAGAGAGCTGGCGGACATGATGGAGAGAAGGAAGGTAGATATACTGTGTGTGCAGGAGACCAGGTGGAAGGGTAGCAAAGCGTTTAGCATTGGAGGGGGATACAAACTGTTTTATTATGGTGTGGACAGGAAGAGAAATGGGGTAGGAGTGATCCTGAAGGAGGAACTCGTGAGGAATGTTTTAGAGGTGAAAAGAGTGTCAGACAGGGTGATCAGTTTGAATTTGGAAATTGAAGGGGTAATGTTGAATGTAGTCAGTGGTTATGCTCCATAAGTAGGGTGTGAGTTAGAAAAGAAGGAGAGATTTTGGAGTGAGTTAGATGAGGTGATGGAGAGTATTCCCAGAGGGGAGAGAGTGGTGATTGGGGCAGACTTCAATGGGCACATTGGTGAGGGGAACAAAGGTGATGAGGAGGTGATGGGCAGGTTTGGTGTTAAGGGAAGGAACCTAGAAGGACAGATGTGGTGGACTTTGCTAAGAGGACGTAAGTAGCTGTAGTTAACACCTATTTCCAGAAGAGGGAGGAACATAGAGTTACATATAAGAGTGGAGGTAGGAGTATGCAGGTAGACTACATTCTATGTAGACAAGGCAATCTGAGAGAGATTAGTGACTGTAAAGTGGTGGTAGGAGAAAGTGTAGC